CAATAATGTAACATTACAAGGTCATATCTTCATGTAATATTTTTCTTTTTTTAACGAAATGTTAGCCCTCTGGAAACCTCTTAACCCTATTGACATATTTCCTATCAGTTTTTTGCGTGTCTTATACCGAACACCAATGTACCTGATTATCCTATGGGGACATACGTGAAAAGAATACAGGAAAAGTCCATATAAAACATAAAAGGGTCTCGATGCAAAGGTTAGGAGGTTTAAAAAACGCCCTTTGCCGGAAAAGGTCGACACTTCATCATAATTTGATCTGGTGTAGGCTCTATGTTATCTCCTAGATTGGGCCAACTAAAGGAGTAAAAAACTCCACTCTATAAATATTTTTTAAAAATCCCTCTTAAAATTGTTGGCTTCATGACAAAAGCTACATCATCCTCTCATTCTTCTCCCCCACCTCTCTCTCTCACACACACACACACACGCGCGCGCGCGCGCGCGCAGTACTAAGCATTTCAACTACCCCTGTAAAAGAAGAATTAGGGTACTTACCTTATCACTGCGTCATCTAGGCTCTGTCCGTTATCAACAATGAACCCTCAAATACACTGTTTTGATGTTTTAATGCTCCCTAGGACCTACGTATTGAGGTAATGGCATGTATTATACAAACGAAACTGATACCCCGCGTTCAATGGGCATGTGTGGGTTGATAAGTAATAATTGTTTACCCTGTTGAACAGAAATATTATCGTAGTACAATCTTACGGGATTTGTTTTCAATATTGCGTGCGCACTTGTGGTGCGGCGGATCGATCGCATTGTGCGTAAGTGGGCACTGCAGTAGTGAACCACTGGGCAATTTATATTGTCTCCAAGTTTGGTGGCACGCACTGAGACTTCTGCACCTCCACGGCGTTAGGTTTTCTTCCTCGAAATAGTCAGGCTCGTAAATGTACGTCAACAATACAAACGCATATATGACAACTTACAGTATCACACACCTTTAATTTAAAAAATATTCTATCTGAAAATAAGATGCTACCAGTTTACCCAATTTTACGCAAACCTCTATGAAAGCCAATACAGGAAGGGTTCGATCTCGTTTTGATGAGTTTGGATGTTTCTGGCAAATATAACATGTTCACATTAATAAGGTTACATGTACAGTAGGCTAAATCCCCAAATCCTGAACGAATATTTTTATCCCCATAAGTATTCACGCACGGAAAACTAAAAAGATATAAAAATGAGTGTTCTGATTTAGGCTGCTGGAAGAGCATGAAAACGACGAATGTGCTTGTACAATATTTTCATTAGCTCATATAACCATTTTAAAGTATGCTTCTTTTCAGTTATCGTTATCACAACTTAACCATTGAAATCTGCGGTCGTTTTTCATATCCCGCCCTCCCATACATTTTAAAACTATAAAGAACTTACCGTCAATTATGGAAAAAATGATACCAGTAAAGGTAGAATAAAAATCTTCGCTAAAACCTAACGAAAACGACCCGTTAAGGTAAGTTTCCTCTATAATTTCACTACTGCGGTAGTCTCTCACGCTATTTTTTAATCACTTAAAATAATCCAAATAGCCTACGATGGGCTATCAACATCAATATTACCACTTCTTTATTGCCTTTGGATGAGGTGCGCGACGTTGTTATTCAATCAGGAGGAGGTATAAGTGGCAGTAACACTGGCATTAAGAACGTTATTGGAGGCGTAAGGGTCGATATATATGAACACTTTTTCTTTTATTTTGCAATTACATTATAGAAACGACTATCCAATTGCATTTTAAAGTTTTATCGCGGGTCACAGCTAAAACGCATCATGAGACGAGCAGTGCAGTTTACCGGAGATCAAAAAGTTTGGGCCGCACTGGGTCGACGCCCTCTCCACCCGGTGGTTTTTAAAAAGTTTCTTACGTTTCTCAAATTTTAAATTATCAGCCTTTAGTCTCGTATTTTACCGGCTCGCCATTATACTTTTTAATGAATAAATATGATAATGAAAATTTCGTATTAGAAAAGCTTTTAAGCTTTAAAAATGCCACAGAATGGATCTGTTCATTGCTCATGTATGGCCGTTTGTGCCATTGTTACACACAGCAGCTGTCTTTAATGTGAATGCGTTAATCTATATCTAAAGAAGACTGCGTGCAATTTTAGGGACGATTCATTTAAGGATTACGTGGGAGGAAATCGAATTGATGATCTTCGTTAATTCGCGTGCAAAGAAGTCATTGACAAAATTATCTCAATCGTTTCTAATTATGCTTTTGTCCCTAAAAGTCGAATCAAACGCTTCGGTCATGGACACAACTATTCAACCGCGTTTCAAAGTTACACTGGTTCTCAACTCGACCGTGTTAGAAGACGAGCAAGTCAATTTGCTGGAAAGCAGAAAATTTGGGGATTCACCGCACCTGCTGCCTACGAAAAAAGTTTGGGGCATTTGCCTTAACAGTCCGATAAACAAGTGAAAGATTTTATTTACGTTGGAAAACTATTAACAAAGGTTTCTTAACAAAGTTTTCAAAAACATCCCATGTCTCTTTTCAGTCCAAAATCCAAAATGGTCGACAATACACAGGGGTAAGTTATTCAAACAGGCGAATCATCAAAACAGGGTTACTTACAAACTTGTAAAAGGTGTCATTTTTAATAAAAACACAAGCAGGTCAGTAGCCAATTTAAATAGGGAGTAGGTGAATCCCCTGAAAGAGTGGACCTTTTACCATGAAACCATTTCGTACTTTTTCCCGACAAAAGTGGATGGGTTCGAACCCTCTCACCCTCGGCTAGGGGCTTTATTTAAAATAGTTTGGAAGTCATAAGAGGTCAAGTTCATATGCACATGTCGAGTTTACACTTTAAAAGGACCACGACGCTCTTAATACACCGTCAATTTTCATATGTTTTCACAAAATTTCCATTTCTTTAATGACTTAGCATTACATAGAAAAAGTTCACCATTTGAATGCAATATTGAACTGACCACAGGTAAAATGGCGTACTCAAAGGTCAAATCTGCATGGAAATAGATACAACACTGACACGAGGGATTTTCGAAAACGCGATTTGCAGTAACGCCTTCCGAATGTATGGACCATACATTTGCTAGCCCAGCCAACAGATCTGAACCAACTCTTCCAAGCTCTGTCCGAAATGTTATTCCAGACCAAATCCAGACCAAACTCTGAGAAACATGTCCGAATGAATGCCTCGCCGTTTGGGAGCCTTGATAGTAGCTAGATGTGGTCACAAGCACTACTGACCAAACATTGATATGACCGAGGTAGGTTTTGGAATTTCTATTAAAATGAAGAGTTTGCCATATGAAAGTTTAACTCTCATTGTCGAACCACAAAAGTACGTCACAATAATAATAATTTAAACTAGTTCAATTAAGTCCATAGTAAAATATTTAAAAAAAACTAACTGCTTGTTACCTTTCACACAGTCTAAAATTTTATTCTATTAACATCAGATTCATTCCGTGGTTACATAGAAGTTCCACTACCTTTCCAACTTCTTGATCTTGCTAACTTTAGCAAAAAGTGTTGATTTTGCAGGTTAAATGGGTACAGGACACTTGCATCTAAAACGGTGTTTTGTTGCTATTCAAATAGGCGTGGTGTGACGGCCCGATATGTCCGACAGGCCAGATATGCCCTATGACCTCGGACACATCTGGCTCTTTTTTGTCGGACATATCTGGCCTGTCGGACACATCTGGCTCTTATTTGTCGGACATATCTGGCCTGTCGGACACATCTGACTCTTTTTTGTCGGACATATCTGGCCTGTCGGACACATCTGGCTCTTTTTTGTCGGACATATCTGGCCTTCTCTGGTCGTAGGATATATCTGGCCTGTCGGACATATCCGGTCGTCACACGTGGCAAGAAAACAAATAGAACATAACTGTCTGTAGCGTGAGAGCATAGATATTCATTATTGACTGTACATAAACTGACGGCTCATTTAAGAATTACATTAATATAAGCGTGTTCGCGTGCCAAGAAGTTATCCAACATAATTATCTTACCGTCCTCAATTATGCAGTTTAATTAAGTGTAATCAAACGTTTTAATCAAAACATACTTAATGTGGATTTGAAATAATAGTTTGACTCTAATAACTTGGTCTTCAGCTATCTATAACAATGAAATCAAATGTGGTATTTGCGTTCATTAGTCATGTTTTGATTAAACGGTCTTTTGAAATGCAGTTATTTAGTTAGTGGCATCTCATTGTCCTATTTGACATGCAAAATTAATCATCTTCCTTAAACTCTTGGGCTCTAATGTTATTGAGCACGCGGTCACCCTTTAAAGGCATGTAATTATTATTTGACTCTCCTGTGAATTAACCCGATTAATGTGATAATTACTGTCACAACACAATTGATATTTTTCAGAGAGTGCGTTGCATAGCATACCCGTCCTTCTCCAGGGTCTCCAGAACAGTGTATCACCGTCCAAACTGAACAACCACGGTTAGAATGCCCTCGACTTACGACAGTTCCAAGTTTTTTTTTTTTTTACGGCAAGTCGTTGAACGGATTTCCGAAGTTAGAACACAATGCCACGTTCACACCGGGCTAATGAAATTTGGCAACTCTCACAAATCTCGGCCGATTTCTGCTTCACTCACCTATGCGCGTTTTTACCAAACCAACAATTTACAACCTTAATCCCGTTACGCAGGCCTATGCTCGTCACTAGGGTATGGCCTTGGAGGAGCAAGGTGGTAAAATGTTTAAACCGTCTTTCTTTTTCTCCGGCACTCTACATCGGTCTTCAAATTTATGCCCAGACTTGCAACATACGGAGGACACCTTACGTCCATTGTGGTTTTATCCAATAGTCTTATTAGATGCAAAGGTACCACACAGGCATGCACTTTATCAAATAATTGGAGACCGTTGATTTGCCAACCCTTTCCAAGTCCAAAATAGCGATAAGTAAACAACTGTTGGTTTGAGCAATATTCCATTTCTTAGAAATGCTCAGCCCAAGTATGTCAATTTTATTGTCCACCTTACTTCAGAAAGTACTACAGAAAGTGTTTTATTGTTTCAGTTATACTTAAAATTTACAAGGTAAAAAGACAACATGAATTGGGAAACTTTTCACATACAATTAAAGGTAGCATCTACCCAGTGTATCACGGAGTGGAAAATAACATCAGTTTCGTCATTACGGCTAAAACGCCGTACCAATACATTTCAGTTCCATTTCTCTTTTTTTTTTCAGAGACATGATAACTGAGAAATGAAAGTAGAAAGGCTGAAGGCACAACCATAGCTATAAGTATATCAACCCTTTGAAATTTGACTCTAAATCTAGACCGCAGCCCCTCGCTGCTGCAGAAGTGGGACTAAAAAAATTGTCTGACTTATTCTCTGCACTTCTTGTCCTTGATGGCAGCCTGTTCAGCGTCTTAAGCGCAACAACGCCCTTACAGGCAACAGTGCGATCTTGCCACAACAGCGTGGGCCACACGTGAAATTTGATAACTCTGCTTCTCGACGAGCCCGAGTACACCTCGTGTCGGTGGTGATCGTAGGTGCAGTCATTCTGGTCCAAGATAAGCTGCTGGTGGTGGACCGCCAGCCGCCATGCCACGCTGGCACTTCGTTCTATATAGGCCGTCATCCGGGCCTCTCCCAACATGTCATCCACCCAGTGGTATTCTGATTTTGAAACCAATTTCATTTTCATTTGCTGCAAGAAGAAAAAGAAGAAAAAATGAAAAAATTTATAAAAATGACAAATTCATGAGTCCGACCTTTGTATTTCTTGAAATAATAATTTGAAAAGTCCGGGTTCGTTTGTTATTTGTGCATGTAAACAGATCAAAAATCAGTTAACTTGGCTGACAGAAAGATTTGATATTGTTAGATCTACAGAATGCTATCAAATCTCAATATCAGAACTACATGTATAACTAATAGGCCCCTATATTTAATTTTAATTCAAGCAGCATAAATAAAACGAAAAGATGTTGTTTCAATTACAACAAAAAAGTGAAATGTAAAGAAATGCATCGCAAACACATTTTGACCATCTACAACCTTTCACAAGATAGAAAATGGAAATCACCCAAACCACTTTCTCTTTCACCGTGCTATCTCAAAACATATGCGGTAACAGTAATCTAATGCGTTAGATGAGACGACTATCTCAACCTTTCGCAATCACAGACTGACAGAAGTGTGCACAACCACCGAACGTACCTTAATTATAGGAGCTACGTCGGTAGTGTCAGCGCTCTTAATGAGGAAGGACGAAATTATTTTGTTGGTTTTGTCACAAAGAACCGCATACTCTCGGCTATGGATCCCCTGAGGGTGTGGCGCTGTAGGAGTTGAGAATGAGCGTCGCCGTGTCATCCCTTTCTACAATGGAAAGTTGGCATTTAAAAAAACGGGGCCTACAATTAAAAAGCTGTATGATTTTATGCTTTTTCCTCATCATTATTACCATTTTCAGGAATGAAGCCTTTTTTTTTTTTTTTTTTTTGTAGGTTATCCTAGAGCAATTACCTTAAAAAATGTATCTTCTTTCTCCACGACAGAATTTTCGTCGCTGTCCTTGCACCGATCCGAGTCGTAGTCCAAGACGTCGGCACTTCCACTCAGTCTCTGATGACTTACTGTGAGGGACAATGCTGGCGGTGGTGTTGTGGTGTGTTCTGTTAGTGGATGACTTATCAGTCTGGGTACATTTTTCTTTAGGGTCGTCACTTTATTCTTACTGAATTCGTACGCAGTCTTAAAAAAGTAGACAAAATATTCTTGTCTTACTGTCTTGTAGAAGATTTTGTGTTACTTAAAGGGAGCGAATTATTTATGCAACATACAATTACTCCATTGAGACTCACAATTTTCTATCTATCCTCAAGAATATATTCTACATTTAATCTCTATCATTTGACTTGGAACCACGTGACAAGTAAAAATTAGTTCACCTGAAGTAGGTCTTATGATAAGATCGAGTTCACCTGAAGTAGGTCTTATGATAAGATCGAGTTCACCTGAAGTAGGCCTTATGATAAGATCGAGTTCACCTGAAGTAGGCCTTATGATAAGATCGAAACGTCTCCGTTTCGCCCGCCGTATGACCAAGTTTTAGAATTATGTTTTCATTAGTTAGTATAATGCAACTGGATGAATAAAAACTTTCCCTTTAACATTACCATTCGTGTATGCTTAAACAAATAAGCTTTCCGTGAAAATCAAGGTAACGGAAAGTTCTGCTCACCATAACGACGTCGAGGAGAAATTTGCACGCGGTCTCCTCTGCCACGCCCATGTCAGTAATAAGACTGAAAGCGTCTGTCCACTCGTTGTCATACAGCGTCCGGAGATCTTGAACAACTGCCGAGGGGCGATTTTTATCCGTAACGTCTTCAATGTCACTAAATGTCTGCCTATCCGACAAAACCTTCGACAATCTGAAATATTCAAGTTCCCATTGTTTTTTGGCGTGTCTACATTTCATGCAATCACTGTAGCTCCCTATGCTGCCAAAGTTATGGAGGGACGTACAAAACGTCCTTTTTGACTTTTTGTGATAAACATAAATCAATTTGTAAAACTGAAATATAAGGCACTTGACCCATAATAAAAAACATTCTGTATCCTGTTTTAAGGTGTTATTTTATATACAAATTGTAAGTAGAAACAGTTTTGTCAGTGTGCACGTCTTATCTGTCTGTCTTTCCGTCTAATAAACCCTCGACCCTTCTACCCTCTGAAAATTAAAGGGCCAAAGATTTTCTCTGCTGGGAGTAGAGAATTGTGCCATGAATTAACCAGAGACATATCTGTGAATATCTATCGAAAAAAAAGAACGACAAACTGTGACCCCGGTAGTAAGTACCCGCCGCCCCCCCTCTCTGCGTCGGTCTGTATGAATATGGCTACGCACCTTGCTCTGAGGACTTGGTCCTGGTCATTAAGACTCAAAATATTCGCCTTCAGATTGTAGATGGCCTGTTGCAGAGCTGCAATCACCCCCTCGTTACTGTTCACGTTCTCCAGGCAGCTGGGAGTCACGCCATAACACTCGGGGCGCATTTTCATATCGGCATGAAGACGCTCCAAACAGGAGACGTTCTCTTGCAAGCCGGCCAGTTCTCGGTCTTTCAGCTTGAAAAAAAAGATCTATTTTAACGACTTTTTTTTTTTTTTTTTTTTTTTTTTTTTTTTTTTTTTGCATTTCTTTGATAGAAGG